GTCGTCGATTGAACCTTCTGCGCCGCGAAGAAGTAACTGCACTTTGGAAAGTCGAAGCAAACGTTGGTACTAAAGACGTATCGCAGTTGGTTGATGTTAAGTTTAGTATTAACCACTGAAGATGTTATACGAGCAATCAAGCGTCTTGGCGATCTCAGCCTCTTGCGACACCTCAGCGTTTTTGATACCTATGTGTCTCCTAGTTGGGGAAACCAGATGATCTAGAGATGAGTCAGACTTCAAGAATTACATTCAGAAGTCGTAGTATATTCAACGTGTTATCCATGCCAGGAGAATTATTGCCCGTTGCGGAAACATTACCGTTGGAAGGTGTAAGTCGTTAGAGGGACCTACTTAAGTAGCCGTGACAGAACAAGTAGATCGAGCAGATTGAGAACGTGTTTAGCCGGCGCGCTTGGGAACAGCCGTCTTACAAATGGAAACTAAGTTCGAAGAAAGACGCTATTTGAGTTGTCTAAAGGTTTTACTTCGTTAAGTTTTAAGGACGTCGACAACTTTTGCAGTGGAAGACAACCTTCTAATAGGCCTGCTTATATAATTGTAGATGTGTCAGCAGGCGATTATTACATATGACCGGCGTTCGAGTTGAGATTACACAGACGTGAAGATGCTTATCAGGTCAACTACTATAATTACTGCGTGTCCTTCTAGCAAAAGGTTTGCGCATCCGAATACATGTCCACTCGAACAAAACGAAAAATCCTCAGTTCTTTTATCCCGTTGTTACTTAGGTCGGCGCCGATGAGTTCTATCCGTTCTGCCTTCATTTCGTCATCGAAGGGCGCGCGAATTCCATCCGTGTACACATATGGACGAGCAGACACTTTATCGAACCCTTATTGCTTTTTCTCTTTATACATGTATGCGCTCTATTCAGTTTACAATAGCGATGCGGTAGGGTGTGTATAGCGGGGCCAACAAACGTTTACGGACAAAATAAATACCGCATCCATTAGACCGGCGAGTCAAATGTTTTTTTGAAGGTCGAATAACTTGAGCTCAACGAGCATGGCTTATTACTTACCTCTACGCACATGTTTCTTCCTACATATAAATGTTGTATTGCGCCAAGTGCAAATCTTCATTTTTATGAGCTATTGGAATCGTAATATTTCGAATATCCGAATACTATTCTTTTACACGGCATCCTGCACGCACGTTTTCGTCACGCAGTAGCTTTAGCTAGAGCGAACGAACGGAGCTTTTCTAGGAGCTTGCAGGTTACAACTCGCATATGATAGCTGTGCTGATCCGTCTCGTTCAGGCCAAGAATTAACCTGATTCACAAACACGAACATTGTTTTTGACCTATATAAAATGTGTTATACACATTCTTCGATTGCAGTTCGGATGAATTGCGGACCCTGGCGGCTTGTTTTAGACATCAATTTCAGGTAAGCTCTGCACGTGAGGAGGTCCTTTAGTATACCGCCTGTTGGATCACGTTCGCTTCTAGATATACCATTGTTAATTTGGCTTTCTTAGCTCCGTAAAGTGCATTCATAGCAGAGAGACAGCTAAAAGGCAAAGCAGGCCCAAGGTGCCGCGGACTAATAGGCCGCTCAAGAACTGCAGTACGGAAAGTGGCTATCAATTATCATTCCTTGTCGTGCATTATTGAACTTGGTACGGAATAATTCGATTGCACGATATGCTTTATAGTGTAAAGTTGGAAAATTGTGCGCGTGAATTAGTCGGAAGACTAATAGCAGTCCATACTAGGATTGACAGCCATAGTTGGTAGCTAGTCTCACAGGCAATCATAGTCAACGCGGACAATTGTCTGGTGCTACACATAGTTGGTGCGCAGCGGAACGTTGATCGAAATCTTAAGGTTAAGAACAGCTTCTCTTCGTATTCGCAACCATAGCAATGGCGAAAGGTGGTATCTTTTTTTTGTTGACTAATCAAGTACGTCCGCTGGGTCAGTTCACGGTATGCTATCTTATGATTCTCTTGTACATGTTACGTATGAAAAGTTCCCTGGCATGTTTCTCGAAAGCAGATGCACACAACGCTAAACAATTTAATTGAGTAATTTTATTCTGTATTCTACACTGGGGAGCCGATTCCACAAAATGCCTTCTATGTCTTCAATAAATACTGTCTCTAATGCGCGGTTTGACAATGATTGAATTCGAATGCGAGGTAAGTAGCCAGAATACAATAAATTTACGTAAGGACATAGATGCACGCAAGTTTCAAGTGGGAAACTTATTCACCCTGTATGCATATGGCCAACGTAACGTTTCAAGGTTCAGGGTCAGCAATTTTTAGGGATACCAATATTCTATCGCCAATCGTTATTGATTCACTCCACAGCCGGCATGGGCTGATCAGTCAGTCGGACCGCTGGTTTCCATGTAGCACTGCTGTTCACGCATCGACTTACAGAAGAAGCACGCCCGTCAAACAAGACGACCAGCTGATCAACCATGCTTTGTCAAGCCGCATTTCTCGAAAAACGAAGAAGCATTGTAGGCAGTGAAGTACAATTCGTTACCTAAACTACTTCATATTCAATTGAATTGATAAGGCTGGCGCGATTTTCTGTTCCTACGTTAGTCAGAGACAAATTTTCCCTCTCGTTGAAGACTCATCCTCTGCGTCCACGGGATTTTCGCCTGATAACCCCGCCCGTTGGTGGCAGGTTCTTTGTTTTGTTAAAGGGACCCGTGAGTATTTTTCTCTAGTCATTGAACAGAAATACCACAGCGTCATTTTCCGCCGGGGCTACTTGTTTCGTTAGTTCGTGACCCTTTGAGCATCCGCGTTAGCCGTTATATTGTTTAGAAAGTTTCGTTTTTTCAAGAACTCGAATCGATCCACCAGCGACTATTTTGGCAACTAAATTGTGTGTTGTTTTTTTTTTTAATTTCAAAAAGTGAATCGAAGGACATGTGTAACAGAGTCTAATTGTTGTTACTCCATGCCAGAATTGCGACATATAAGTGCCAGCGAACAGGCCTATAAGTAAACAGTAAGTCACTCTAGTTGAAGAACATCCAACAACCGCACGGATTTTTTTGCTTTCGGACAACTGAAATAGCATTTCGTTTGCGGAAGATACACCCGGAAGGAGACTAGAGCAGAGCGAACAAAATTAACTTGGGAATGGTAGTATTTTATATTGAAATACAATAACTGTTTGTTATACGATTATTAGTACTATTGTATGAGGTAATTATCTGTACCAAGTGAAAAAGTTAGACCGCTTATCTGTAACATATTCAAAATTGATAGTGTTCCTAGTATTCGGGCGGGTACTTGCTGCCTCGCGTCGTACCATGTCAACATAATCTGCTGCCACAGCACCCGATGCGTTAACTATTTGCCATATTAAGCGCTTTACGTATAACGAACTGTTTAATACTACCCTTACCGTGAAATACGTAACAATGTGTAATTGGCTTAGTTTCTAATTAAACCAGTTAGAAGAAATTTTCACTAATTCAATATTTACGTTTGTACACATGAAGTTAGTTCCGTGAAGTAACGTCCAAGTCCTAATTAATAATTCTTACACGAGTAGTCGCATTCCCGCTGTCAAGCTTAAAACTTACTGCGGTTTCGCAGGCCGCTAAATTGAATAATCAATTGAAAAGGTCTAAACGAATTCGCTTAAGTATCGGAGTATGCATATATTTCCAATGTGCTACGGATTTCCAACATTTTCAACTTACGACATTTTCAGTCGCTTATACACTTTCCTTAGAACATAGAACCCATGACTATAACAGGCAAAAACATTTTCATTTGTTAATTTCGTATATGGGTGATCTACCCTGTATGAGGCCTTACATATACCTTCCACTATCATCACAGCTCAATCTCGTCCCTGTAACTTTTCCTTTATCCGCCTTTTGTGACAGTTGATCCTGAAATGCGGTTACGCCCAGAATCTGGCGAAAGGTCGCATGAGTAGATCAGCGACAAAAAATTTGCACAGATGCTTACGTAGTTACGGTTGCAACACTTGATTGTTTTAACAGCTGGTGTATATTTGCTACGCTCACACTCGCGAAGTGTATTTTACCTGATCGATGGATCATTCTCTGTCGTCTGTCTACCATAATTCTACTCAAAGATCAGCGTAATCTGTGGCGGGTTGTGTCACGCCTCGCTCACGATGTTTAAAGGTTCTTGGTAAATCTTGGCCGTTCGAAACATCTTCCTATACTTTCAGAAACCATTCAATATGGCACTGACTAGCAATTTCGTTGTCGTTGCAACGAGAAAGCTCACCCCTATGACTTTTGGCGATGGCTTATAACTATGGTCAGTTCAATGTTGATCTGACAGAATTCCCATTGCGGCTACTGCGTGTCGATAGCGCCACGTTATGCAAGTGCTTGCTGTGCTCGATTCTGGAGCAAATTTTCTTTTTCTGGATTTGTTTTGGTTCGCTTAGAACCGCCACATCTTCAGCAGGCCATTAATACCAAAAGATAAGTTGTTCTATTCGGCTGTGAAACTTCTGTGCTAAAGCATTACGAGGAAAAGATGCTCTACTTCCCACCAACTAACGCGGTGATAAGTTTATGTACTGATAGTTTTTCAAGCCACATCAGTAGCTCGAGTTGGTATCGACATTATGTTGTCGCGTAGAGTTTGTTATCGTAGTAGCTGTTTGACGCACATGGTCCACAAGGCACTGGTTCGCGACCGAAATGTGTATCAAATTGAATGGAATAACGGTAATAGAAGCTCTCGAATTCAAGTGGACTGCCAGCCTGCCACGGGTTTCTACCTCTCAAGCATAGACATTAATCGTAATAAGCGCTCTAGGCGACGCTGAGTCGTCCATACGCTTTTGCCTCCGTGGAAAGGACAGGCCTTCCTTTTTTCAAAGTACGTTCGTCCAGTGACAACTGTAAAGGAAGTTGTTATTGGCAAAAAAATGGTGTCACGTTTTGCTTTTCGGTGGATTGGCACGAAACATTCGAAGCTATAGGCGTCGATAGATAAAAATGTATTTAATCTCAACCGCCCTCTTCTCAGTGTACTTGGAGACGTAGGCCAGATTCGGCGATAAAGGGACAGCTTCATTTGAGAAGATAAAAAATGCTTTGTGTAGCGTGAAGCAAACGATCGGTTACTCTAAGTTGTTGACAAAGCTGAACAAGTTCCCATAAGTCGGAACAGGGTGCGCGGTGTGTCCATTAGGGCATGTGAGTGCGTCGAGTGCGGTTTTTAGAAACTATTGCATAATATTGTCTGCGCAGAAAACCAAACAATGGTGTCGGTATTTCTAGGTGTTCCCTGGGGTGAACCCATTCTCAAGAACCTAAGACCTATGGGATCAAGAGAAGTGTTTGAGGAACTCGAAAAAGCATGTGAGACTGACAACACTCTTATTTTCGAACTAGATAATTACTGGATATACTCTTTTTTTTCTTTTGAATTTTTAGATTGTTCGTGTATATAGGAAATCATAAAGATATGAGCTTTCATTAGAGGTATATAGGCCTGCGAACCAAATATTTTTCCGCAACTAACTCTATGCTATTGAAAACTATAATGTTCGTCTGGTGTAAACAGACTTTTTAGTAATATATATATATATAATACAAATAAGAGCAAAGATCTACCGCTTAAATTAATGGCTATATAGAGATACAAACAAGCGTGTGTTTTTATGCGTTGTGCGTGTACGTTTATGGACTGTTTAGAGCGCCTCACAACTTCAAGTTTCGCAGTCTCTTCGGACGGTACTTGAGCACAAGGCACCAACGAAATTTCGACACTGAATTTTATAAATACAAAATACCGTTAATGCAAATTTCAAGTATATCCGTAATGATATATTACTGAACTGAGAATCACTCGGACATTTTGTGCGTTATTAAATAACCCTATGTCGCCGGTAGATACATCAACTTCCTATAAGAAAATGAAATAGTTTTAACCCAACATTCCATAATGGTTTCTTGCCTAAGGAGCGTTGATGTTTTTAACGAATCAACCAAACTGACAGTACATTTAATAGCAGACCAAATGACCAGGTTAGGTCTCGAGCTAGAATATAAACATCAAACTTACACACTAGTATAGTTTGCTGTCCAAGAGCCATTACAATCGAAGCGTATAGAATTTGACATCATTGACAACTTCAATACAATTAATAAGTAATCGTAATTTGATATGCTATAGGTTCCCTCTGTTTTCGTAAAGTTAGCAGTGGCCATATTTGGCTGTCTGCATCGATAACGTCTGTTATGAGAACATGTATTGTTAATTGGTGGATTAATACAACATTGTAGTATACGTAACTATACATTTATGTCAACAATCGCTCCCTAAGCTAACTAGCAGACAGCATCGATAGACATACGTCTTTTCATCTGCTTTATTAGTGAATCAACACTTTGTTTTGTTTACATTCGAGTCTTACTTAATAATAGCGATCATTTAGAGAGGACATCTTGGATTCAATTATTAGATGATCAATTTACGGTATCGTTTCTCATTTAGAGTTAGGAAAGAAAGAACTTTTCGACGCTTCTACGATTACTTTCTATAGCATTCATTGTTTGTCTCTAATGGTTGCTTTACGTTAAAATGCTTTAGTTAAAGAATACGTTATTGTTAAAGCTGATATCCGTTTAAAATATTTGGTTAAAAAAAATCGTAGGTTCGTTTTCGTACATCGTCAAATTCAATCAATCAGCTTTTTTGCCTCAGACTCCTTGATTTTTTTTGCGAAAATCTTCCTTGTACATACAATACGCCACGTAACACGAAAGCTATGCTATGTATAGATTCTGTTTGCCCTTCTATTAAATTGCTGACCTTTCACACACTAGTTTTGAAAAATTGTATGAAAGATAGTAAAAGAAATAACGAAACGAAACAGCTATGTAGACAAGTGTAGTACTACGCATTCGGCAATGACTGCGATTCTGAGGGATTTCCTTCCTTAAGACCATTATGTGGACTCAATGTTCTGAGGTGCCAAATTTGGTGTATAAGATTCGAATACCATATAGAAGCCCCTGTTAGATCCACGGTTTTAAACTAACATGTCGATGTTCTTCAATGATAATAGTGTGCAGACGTTTGGAAATACCACTGCTATTGAGTTAGAATGAAAAAATTGTAGTTCAACAGCAAACTGTAGTGATCCACGATATTCCAGAGTCATCACATCATATTTTTTCCCTGTAATAATAAGCTACCATGTTATGTATTGCTCACAACTTACTCCGGCCGTTCCACTAAATAACGTATGCTATTTCGCCAAAAGGTAGAGGCTTTCCAACCACGTTTCGGGTTATTGATCCGTGTTGAACGTAAGGCCACGAACTCAATACACGGAAAGGTAAAAATCCGTCGGTGTAAAATCCGAAGGAACGCGACAAAAGCTCTTATTCAAAGTCCAGGAGGACAGCTTTGACGATGCTTGCTGTGTGTGGCCTTTGGAGAGGGATAAGATGACCTTTTCTTGTAGGGCCTTTTCTTGTAAGGGCCTTGTTGAGTTGATGTCACTGGTCCAAATAAACATGTCGATCAACTGTTTGGTTCGTACTAAACAATATTTAATGAATCAAGCCTTCACAGTCCCACCAAACGTAAAGCATAAACGCCGTTGGATGAAGATCTGTTAGACTTTGGGCCACCCATTCCGATTTTTAGTTCACGTTAACATATAGATATCAATTCTCATCACTGATGACGATTCTGCGCCATTATCAAACACTCAGTACAAATAGTGAGACGCTGAGATGTAACGATAAACTGTATATCCTTGTTGGGTTCAGAAAGTTAATGAAGGACTCAAGCTTCGAATTTTTGTGCAAGCTGACAAGATTTGAGGTCATTAACAATCATATTGTGGCTGCAGCCCATCTTTTCGGTCTATTTGTCCGTCGGCCGTCTTTCTTCAAAAATCTCTTCAAAGAGTAATCATTAGGTACAGCCTATTGGCCGTATGCCGACTAAGTACCGTATGTCATTTCAGACTTAAAACTTAGCAAAACGTCGTAAAGTGAATGTCCCGGTCGGTTTGGTCTTGCCAAAATATATAGCGTAAGATGTCGAAAATGCGCTTTGTACATCCGTGATTGAAAAGTTCTTTTGCAACGTAATACCGTTTTACTACGTTGATGGAGCGGGAATAGTGCTTTTAAACGGCGTATCAGAAGGGAACAATAGGTAGGGCGAAGTGAGAAAGGATTTTTAAGCCCAAGTTTTCCCTTTCCAATTTAATACGATCTTGCGAATATTACAAACCTGTCTGTGTCAGCTTGACATTAAGGGAGGTTAGTATAATAGAAAGTGTAATTTTTGACGACATAAAGATTAATGACATCACCGGTCCCAATTGTTATAGAATAGACTGTCTTTACGTGAAGAACATGCAGTGAGAGTGTCACTATAAAAACGTTTCTACCCAACGGCCTGGATGGCAAAAACAGTGTCCGATTTTCCTATGGATGGACGTTGCCAGTACACTGTAGCACAAGTTATAATAATGGGATACATTCACGTGGCAGAGAAGGGGTGGAGCTGATTAAGGTTTAATTAGGGGAAAAGTAAAATAGCGAGAGCACGTTCGAAGATTTGATGTGGAATATTTCGCGTTTTGTCTCAGGTTCACCTCTTTGTGAAGTAAGCAAGGCCCATTCAAGGCTTATTCAATCCCTTGCTCCCTGAAATCGATTTTTTTTCTTACATGAATGGGCCTCTGTTTCGAATTTTACATCCGGTATCACCATTAGGCATACCATTGGACGTCTGGTTCTCAGCACGAAACGAAATCTGTCTATGTTCAGGTACGAACCCAGACCACAACACATTTCTAAGATTAGGAGGCAAATGCGTTAGCGACTAAGCAATCACGGGGGGTCTAAAAGCAAGCCATGAGTCATCGTGTAAGGGGCTGAGGGTTACAGTTATCTGTAATTATTTACGCATAATGAGTGTTGCTTCAAATAGATTTGCTAGGTAAATACATAATCAGTTTCAGTTAATAAATCGACTTATTGAAATTTTCAGATGGACGTAGGACTTCCAGTGGTTCAGGCGGAGGGAGGAAATTGCAACGGAGGATGAGCCAGATTGAACAAGACACACGCTCAAGTGGGTATCCAATTAATATCTTTTAAACGCTTAGAATAGAAGTAACTTTCAAAATCAGTGATATTTATTGCTCATACTTAAATTGATTTTTTTTTAATTTGCCGCTTTTATAGATTAATACCAAAGTCTTCCTCTATAATTATATGGTAGTTTTAGAGGTGCCAATTTGAAAAAATCTGTTAGAGCATTTATTTTTTATTTTATAATAGAGCATTTATTTTATTGCCTAAGAAAAAATAGGGTAATCACGCCGTGTTTGTCTCTCGTGTACAAACTTTACCTACTATGGTCATGACAGAAAATCTTTTATTTGTTTAACCAAATAGCTCGATCCAAAGCTTGATTCGAATGTAGCTTGATGTCGGGATATACATCTGTACATATATACATATCGGGAGTAACAGGACATGTTCTTTGATGTAGTTATATTTTGAGAGATCGATAACGTTTGGAGCAGAGTGCAGATGCCTTACAACAGGCACTTCTTTACAGTATTTTCAAGCCCCAAGTGTAGGGCCGTTATCTCTATCTCGACCGACTTGAAATGAAAGTGTTAGAGCAACGCGAATAGCACGCTCAAGGTCCCTTCTGATTTGAGCAGAAATCGTATTTACCTGAACGTATAATGTAAGACCTTCCGTCGGCTCCTTATCAAAATTTGGGATTGATGGTGTGGTCGGCGAGGAGACCGGCCCGTTTCATATTCGGAGTGGGCTCAGTAAAATTTTATGGTTAATAACAACGAAAAGAGGTTGAATATGTTGATTGACCCAATTATTTAGTCGTCGTTTTCAAAGAATACATGCGTAGAGGACTATATGTTAAATATACATATGACGGTCCATGCAGTACCGAAGCCATTTAATAATAAGGAAAAAATCATGGTAACGACTCAGCGGTGGTAAAAGAAATAACGATATTAACTCTGTACGCCCACAACGGGTTATTGAAGGGGGACCGTAGCGAATGGTTCAAAATGGTAGTAACTACTGAGTATATATTATCATGCATGTTGGGGGAGAGAGAGAGAGAGAGAGAGGGGGGGAGGAGAGAGAGAGAGAGAGAGAGGGAGGGGGGGAGGGAGAGAGAGAGAGAGGCAAATAATACAGAAAAATGCTCTAGGAATATTGTTGGATAGCGTAAGAGAGTCATGTATAAAAAGTATATGTGCAATTGGAGCGTAAACACTGTAGTAGATTATGCTGTCATGTTTATGACTTCTGTTTTATATGATCATATTGGTTTTTCCGCCGGTATACAACATTTGCGGCGGTCTCACAGGATTTTTGAAGAGGGGTCATAGTTTTAGACATAGCATTGTTGCCCTAAAGCATCTAATCAAATGGCGCGTGCAAATGAAAGTAATGCTTGCTTCCGCTGTACTAGCTCCTCAGAAATCTACCTCACAACTTCGATTAATTTAATTGTAACAGTGAGGTTTCAGATCGAGTGGGCCGGCCGCAGATTGTGTTCGACGATCTCTTGAGCACCATTTTGACGAGGAGACTGATTTACGATGAATCAATTTGGGAAAACCAATTGCTATACACTCGGACGCGTATACTGGAAACATTGGACACTGTCTACCACCGAAACACATGCTGTATAAGGCGTGCCTCAGAACACCGTGTACCTTGTACAGTATAAACAGACAACTGCGAAAACATAAGATATTAATTTAAAACACTGTAGATGCAAATGTACTATATCTATCAAGCATAAACGTAAAAGCGTATTTCAGCGGCAATTTCTCGAAAACAATATCTATACGACGTACGATTCAACACAGCGCACAAAATAAAGGATCTATTCCTTCACTAAGGATCCAGTTCGTAACAAAAACAATGCCAATTGCTTGAATGCTATGTATACGTTGGAAGTCCTAGTGTTAAAACGCACCCGTTTCAAAATATTCATGCGTTAGTTTAAGCCTATCGATATAGGTTTGCCATGTTCACCGACTTTATATCACTATCCTTTGCGACCTGTTAAGTATATTGCCAACCTCTTTTTTCATTCACTTGGCTCGTATTCTAATTTATAATATATTTCCGTTCGTCTCTTCCGCGAGTGTGGGTCTGTGAGTACCATATTCCCGCCTTGCCATATATTCTGCTATTTCGACTAGGAACACCTCATGGGTGAAGCAGTTTTTAATAAGGTAACCACACGTGACCTCAAAGCCTTTTTTTTCCTAGCCAGAAACACATGATTACTGTTTTGTTAGAGAAACGCTTTTAGGCATCATGTACCTGTTCTCGTGTTCACGGTGGAGGGATAACGTGTTTGCTTATTAAACCGAAATGTTCGTCATCTGGAGTAACGCTTAGCTGAGGCAGTATCAGACAAAGAACTTGAAACACTCAGACGTCATGTATCTGCTGTTTGCTGTCCTACCTGCCTGCCTCGCCGACAATTTAGGTCGTTCATAGCTTTTTCCTCTTCCATCTTCGAATCACGAATACGATTCTGTCCCACTGTCGCCAAGTTTCAGCAGCAGTAAACCGAGTACGATGCGGTTCCCAAAGCGTTTTTAAGCGGCAGGAGGTATAATCTCTACAGCATCAATAGGCCCTGCCCTATAACGGTTTTTGTATTTTCCCGGAACAACAGGTGGGGTAATCCGTTGAAGCCGCGCTCCATCTTCACGCGGTAACGATGCTTTGTTCTGTCATAGTTATCGCGCTACTTGATATATTGAAAAAGACAGAGAGAGAGAGAAAGCGCTTCTTTCCTTAATTCCATAAAGCAGCGCTCATGGGTTCTGTGAACCTTGCGTTGTGGGCCGGAACATGCAAGGCCTATGACGGATGCACAAGAAACCGTGACAAATTTCTTACGCTATTTTCTTTTTCGTGGCAGTATAACTTTGACGCTATCTTCCGTTCTACTTATCACGTGGTCTAGCATTAAGTTCCTATATGTTTTCAACATGCCATAGTGAATTTACAAGTTGACGAAGGGACACGTTTTTCTTGTCCAAAAAGTCTAATAGCATAGGTTAATATTACGACTTTTGCACAGTTAGAGAACTGCCTCGCGGATGATACTTTCGGCAGCGCAGCCCCTGCGTTACTATTAATCTGACCAAGTGGGTCATATTTTCCACAATCGTTTCGTTCTTTTTCTATTCAGTTAGCATTATATATTTTCATCATTCATAATCGTCAATTCGCTCGGGTTTTCCCTTGGATCTCCATCCCAGATACACCTTTAGGTTCCTTAATTAGTTAATCCTTTTAGGTAATAGTTAGAAGGCGTTACTAACACTTGCTTCAACCCGAGCAATATTTTACATTAGTCCCATGTATTTTTTGGCTTAGCATTATTTAGTATACTTTTCATATTGTTCCCCCTCTTTAAGCTTTCAATTTACTAGCAGTATGACGTTTAACTGTATGAGTTCCCCTTTTCTGAGACAATTAGCGTCAATCGAATATTATATATATATATGTGTGTGTATATGATATTGAATGCCATAGATGCGCCTGGTGTCTACAATTGATCTATGTATCTTAGGACTGCTATGCTGTTTCTCGGAGGGGTTCTTTCGTGCGCTGCGGGAGTACCGCGATTCGGTGACGAAAGCCTGCGATCCATTCCGATGCTGTTCGAGGCGCCAAGAAAAATATGGAAATTCGTTTATGGAAATTGCCCGCCTGCTCGCAAATCTATTCAGGTATTTCATTAGACTATTTTTGCCTCTTCTAAAAGCTACTTTTTGTTTTTTAATTCAACTGTTGAATGGCATCAATAAGATGGTATTAGCTACCTTGTCCGGATACGTGCATTAAGCTATAGCATGCACACAGGCCACAAATTCTGCCTCTGCCGCTCGGTTCTCGCAACAAAAAAGTGATCTATTGATGTAGCTATAAGCAAGACCCGGAAGCCGAGTTCATGTTGATCGCTGAAAAGCTGGCTGCTGTCAAGTTACATTGTCTTCACCAAGCTGGCATAGTGTTACTATGAAGCGATTACAGTTATTTTCTCGTCCTATTGAGGCTCAGATCAGGTAACACGCCGCGTATCCAATATGTCCTTATTGCTTAAAGAAGCAGCCCTATTAGGCTGTGCGTGATGACAGTCATTCAAGATCTGTGGATCGCATCTATAGCACGATCCATGCCATAGACGCGATCGTACAAATGGTAGCAGCTTCGCCCGAACTAAGCAGCGCATATGTTACAGTCACATGAATATGTATTATGATCTAGATTGAAGAATATTTGGCACACTCAGAGGTATTTGAAGTTCGTAAAACGTACCATTTAAACAACTTACAGTTAGTAGTGCTGCATTTTCGGGCTTTTTGCCATTAAATATATCCTATTTTAGTAAAAAAACTAATCACATTTATAGTAGAAGTAAGGTCGAGCAGCGGTCCCCTTACTCCTTCCTAATAGCTATGACGTTCCACAATATAGCTTAAACACACTTACAGCAGGTTCTAATAGAAAGACACATCTGTACATATAATGATAGATCAGCGCAGTGCTTGTGGGCCCAGCGTGCCTAAACGAAGGTGTATACTTATACGTGGAAAACGAGAAATACATTGTTGGCCTACGTTTACGACTAGCCAAATTAACATTACGCTTTATAGGAGAAAAAGCAAACTTTACTCTTTAGGAATGAAAGCATTTGCGTGATCTGCTTCATAAACCTTCCCAGAGAGGAACTCTAATTAGGCTTACAAAAATCTGTCTAGGCCATCGTTTCTGAGAGATCGGTTTGGGTCGAACAATTTCAAGTTTCTAGTAGAATAAACTACTGAAAAGACAATTTTGTTGAGCAACCGTACCAGAGGACGACCTGCAAGGTGCCTAAATTAGGTTTTTGCTATTCACTAAGTAGGCATATGACTGAATATGCGTAGGCCTACGGAATTAATTAGGTCGACATTTTCGTCCTTTCCAGAGACTTGAACGTGTCAGCGTCTGATGTTGCCGCTGGTTTGGTTCTGCTGCGTAAGTTCCAGCGTTTGCAACGCGAAACGATACAACAGCAGGTGGATAATGACACGTACCAATTTCTTTCAGGGGTTGCGGTTACCCCGCAGACGCACTTCCTTGATATCAACTTACCCGTAAGTGGCACCGATGCAATAGAAGAAAGCCGAATTAAAAGATATTATGCTCGTATCGTTTTGCTACAGTCGAATGTCAATATCTTTTGGTGATAGCATGCAAGGTGTTGCTGTTAAGACATGCCAATGAAAAGCTAGCTTACAAAAAGCACAAGAAGTATTCTTGCGTGCTTTATTATGGACTAAATCGACTAGATCGAGCGAACGTATGTTAAAATACGAGACAATAAATTTTACTGTGAATTAGTAAGTTTCAATAAAATCGTTTTTCAATGCTTTACAATATCATTCATTTAATAGAAAATTTGGGCCGACTCGGATAAGTTAGTGAATAACGGTCTCGACAGAAGTAAGTTTCCGCCAACCGTTATAACTAAATTTCACTCACGACCCACATGGGATAGATATGACGCTCTAATAATGTAGACGGTCTCTTAAACAACTGATAAAAACCTAATGATTACCTGAGGCTGGTTTGTTTTCAAGTGAACTAACATCAAAGGCCCCCTTGTATCGCAGGTCAGACAAAACTGAATCAAGTATGGGCTCATTCATTTTCGGAGACAAGTCGTCGTTGTAGGGGAGATACTATTTGCAAAAGTAGGCCGACTGAACTTTTCGAACTCTGCATTAGGGGAACAATCGTTTCGAAGTTCGATGTTCATGGCAGTATCACATACTACACGGCAGGCATGCTGCATTTTACAGCAACTTTTACGCCATTTTGTGCAACCATTTGGACCGATTAGAACTACAGCTACTCCTGTAAAAATCCGCAATCTTAAATTCAACACATTCGTATTTGATACATTTTTCAATGCAACTTTTACTCATCTGTACGATGACTTGTATCTCCGTCATTTTCAGGAAGTATGCAACGAAATCGAAGTGATCACTCATTATATGGAGTTTGCTCTGGGCGTCTACGGATGGCCAATGTACCTAATGACGAACGGGGCGGGAAAAGGTTGCGCCTGCTCGTTTCTGCAGCAGCTCAGGTAGGCCAGTCCAGCGGTGTCCTCCACATCCGAGGCTTTTCCAAACACTCACTCGACGAACTTGCAGACAGCTTGAAACACGTTTGAACACGAATTTCGTTTGCAACACGCATGGGCTCAGCGTATACGGGAGAAGAGGTGGCACCTTCAAATGCACACTTATATATAATCAACTTTTCTCCCCTTTGCTAATGCGTCTCTAAGTCTCTGTTGTGTATCACTGCTGTCGGTTCAATTGCTCTTCTTAGATGTATATGCTGTCTGTGGAAGCGAGACGCAGGTGCAGGTGGAGCCAATCGGTCTATCGTGATCGAGGATAACTGCTGCCTCTGTAATTTCGCGGCGCTCAACCAAATGCTCATGAAAAACAACCCCAATGTACAGGTCATCTTCGTCAGCTACCATGTTAATGCAAGTATCTTTACCGTAGAAAAAATTGCGAATCGAGTAGTGTCTCTGGAATGGTACAGTGGTAACATATTTGCCTACAAAGATAAGGACACGTGATAGTCTGGACTCCAAGCCCGAAGTAGACGCAGTTTGCTTCGAGCTGGAAACAACCAGCTGTTTAAAGTAATGCTTATTTCGAGCCTTTACAAACGAAAAACTCAAAACATGTATTCATCTATTTTTGTAGTGGTAAGAAGCACGTTTCAGTGTTATTAACGCTGGTCAGCTAAGTACCAGAAGAGATGATGCCGCGCGAAGTCAGCTCACTGTCATCTCTGTACGTAAATGAGGTGCGGTCTAGGTGGCTAGTGTGTATCTATTTAAGTACGTTGCCGTGGTATCATAAGGATGTGCCATAGCTGACCCAAATTTCAGCATCGAAAACGATTATTATAGAATGTGGTACCGTACCGTTGGATAGGTCTTTTGGAGAAAGCGTTGGCTCAAGCTTCCAATGGGGCAAACCTTTGACGCTATGCCGAAGAGGTTATTCCGAGAACTTGTTTACACGAGAGGTATAACTAAAAGTTTTACAAAAAGATATAGAAATTAGAACATTGAATTCATATTAATTTTATTACCCTTGTTCGCAGTGAAATGGCAGAGAGTTGACTTGTTTACATATTACGTGTACGTAAAAAATGGCCTCGAAAGGCCAACAGGCATTAGAAACAGATTTTTCTGCTAATGATGAGCGTATAAATCACGTGCTTATCACAGGTAAATGAGACGCCATTCTTAATTGCTTTGGACCATGAGCGGCGAACCGTAGTGGTGAGCGTCCGTGGGACTTTGTCTCTACAAGATATCATCACCGATTTGAACGCCGATGGCGAACCGCTTCCGGTTGATCCACCTCGGGCTGGCTGGATGGGTCACAAGGGGATGGTAAAGGCGGCCGAGTACATCAAGAGCAAACTCGTTGACGACGGATTACTTAATTACGCGTTTAGCTATAGTTCGGTATGTACATTATACGTAAGTTCTCATCAGTGTCCACCATTTCTAGCGTTTTCTTAAATGACGATGACTTAGAGAATACTTACAGTGGTAACTGACTGCTTAAATATAAGCTTGCTACATAAGACAACTCAGTCACCCGAAATGATATTTGTAATACATTAGAATTAAGTTTTGCCCTGGCCTATGCAGGCTGTCGCTCTAATCATCTATAATATGTGTCGGTAGTGAACGCGGTAGTTGTTGTTGTAAATGAGAACGTGCTAATATGCAATAACAGACAGAGAATTTTAGGCGGGCAAATCTGACCCGATGTTAGTCTTCTATTGTCTGTCTCTAGGATCGAGGAACCTCTACGTACGACCTTGTATTGGTCGGCCACTCATTAGGAGCCGGGACGGCTGCAGTTTTATCGGTCTTGTTAAAAAAGGCCTACCCAAATGTGGTATGTTATTCGTATTCGCCGCCTGGAGGAACCTTAAGCATGGCCGCCGTCGAAGCGTCAAAAGGCTTTATAACTTCCGTGGTTTTGGGCAAAGATGTCGTGCCACGCATCGGTCTCCATCAAATTGATGCGTTGCGTAGCGATCTTATGAACGCGATCAGTCACAGCAATGACCCGAAGGTAAACGATCGACGCGTGTTCATATCTACTTATCGAGCTATATTGTCAGTTACAGATAAATATAAAGCTAAAGACTGTAGAGATCTGTTAGCTAGTATTCGGAGGACGTTAGCATTTTCTAACACAATAGAAACAATTTTTATCAACTAGAACACAGGTTTGCTTGTTCCATGCTTTTAGTAAGAGTCAGAGTTATGCAACCTTGTTCAGAACGCGGCATTCAGTTAAAGTATTCAGTATCTATAATTCGCTTAACAATCTGTAGTCAAAGTAATCTACCCCTTCCATAAGGCTCAAAGTTTTCTTTGAAAACAAACATTCTGAAACCTAAAAAGGTGCGGTTGTTTTAGCTACTGATAATATTTGAGATTCGGGCTATGTTTTTCTCCTCTGAAAAATGTCTTCTGTTGTACAATAACCATTAATTAGTACACATTTCGATTATGGCTCTCCACAGTGGAAAATCATAATGGGTGGTATGATGTGTTGTTCTTATGGAGGGGAGCCGGCAGAAGGTGACCAGCTAGCAGCGCAGATGCTACACGAACGATCTGGGTTGCATCATTCTGAGTCGAACATCACGCTCAATTGTTCAGAACCGCTTTTCCCACCAGGCAAGATCATCCATATTGTTCGTTCACACCCGAAGAATAACGCACAAGTTGGCGGTGATCAGAGTACGCCAGCATCAGGAGAGGGCACACCTCGAACTGAGAAGAGCATGTGGAGGTTAGTCATTGAGTGTTGAATTGATTGAATATTTTACTATTATTAGTATTATAATTAGGACCGAGTGCTAACGCTTCTGTAGCGTTGTTTTCACAGGAAGCTAGGATTCAGCTCTGAAGAAGAACCTGTCTATCAAGCGTTATGGAGTGACCCACGTGACTTTGACAAGGTATTGGTGTCACCGTCTATGATTCAGGATCATATGCCCGACAAAGTATTAGAGGCGTTGCGAAAGCTTCTTACGAAAATTGGTCCGGCCAAGCCAAAACGTGCGGTCCCGTCGAGAACGGACATTCTAATGTCCCTGCACGGAGATCCACTGCTTCTGGACCCACTCGAGCCGATGATGCCGTCGGATGCTGATGGGCTAGCGCCTCCCGAGACGCTCGATGGTGACGAACATTTCGCCGAACGCGTTCGGGCCCTACAGAGTGCTCGGGTCATTACCAAGCCACCCCAATTTGAGGGCGGTTCATTGAGTTCATTGGGTCTTTCCCTTGGGGGCCTTTCGTTCAAGGCTCCAAATCCAACGGGGGCCCCACTGGCGTCCCCTGAAACACTGAGTGAAGTTAGCTCGGTATCAGGTTTTTGCGCCGACACACGAGGCCGGCGCTCGTCTGTGATAGAGCGCGTACACTCCGACCTATTGGTTACTGAGCAGTGCGACGTTCCCTTGGTAAGTATCGCAGATTACTGATCACATATTACCCTATGGATGTTGTCATACGAAAAGAATCCCAATTCCGTTGGCACATGCTACTTTTTCGCACGGTTCGATAAGTTAAAACAATGGTGTTGTCATATGATCGTTGATGAATTAGTAAATACCTTCTGCCTGTACAGAATTTTTAGAGGGTGTGTGATAACGAGCATTACTCGTGCTTCACATAAAATTGCTTTGATTTAGGGTTTAGGCAGAGCTATATATCTAAGGCAGAGTGACACGATAGAGATTTGACAACTGTTGCATTTTATACGAGCTCTTCGACTCCTCCTTGACTAGATTCATGTTATGATTATTCGTTTCTATTTTATTGCATGCAAGCAGTACATGAAACGCGATTTGGTAGCCATCGGAGATGGGAGTCCCAATCCAGAGGAGGGTAGTGCAGCCCCATCGACGTGTGGAGAGGTGGGAACAATTGAAGTGACAGATGATTCACTTCCCTTAACTCCAGCAACGTCAATTCTTAAAGCCGGACTTGGTGGTTCCCCGTCCGTTTCCGTCTCGGCATCTTCGCCGACATCTCGGCGATCGCCCGTTAAAAAAGTTCGCATCACATTTGATGCACCGATCAACGATGATGATCGAGGTAAGTATGGCTTGAAATCATATAAAGCCGCTCTATTTAGCAGGTTGTCAAAAAGTACAAACTGCTTGTGTAGAATCTGCTGCAAACGCAGTGTAGATAATTAGAATCATTACGTTCATCTATATTTCAATACGAGGCAGCGTATCCCATTACCATGTTGTTGCAACTACTGTTATTTTCTTTTTTTGTAAAGTAACCTAAGCCTAGCCGAGAAAGGTCCATCCATGTAGGAAAAACATGGTCTTTTATTCAAGTTTGTGAGTAGTATAAATTGACAAAATATCAGAACATAGGTGTAATGTGCATAGTAGGTTATCAGCCGTGTTGTACCCAAGAATCGCTTAATTACACTGCTCTAATTAATTCTTATTGCACCGGCGACACGCCTTTATAGGTGTGTCCCCTCTGACATGTCAACCTGTTACTGAGGCGGAGGACAATAATACGGGCTGTGACGGAACAGAAGCCGAAGCCGAAATTGGCTGGTTAGCGTCATGCTCATCAGATTCTCCAACAACTGAAGATGAGACTCAGCTAACCCTCGAAGAGCAGATGGCGGTTGTCAGGACGTTGCCACTGCCCCGAGAACAGGATTACGATAGTGATGTCGATGAGACGGCCTCGGAACGAAGTAGTTCGCAGGTACTGTCCAACTACGTGGACGATCTCCAATTGTCAATTGAAGCTTCGTTACGATGAAGCTTATCTTCAAATCGTTTTCGTGGACATTGTGTATACACACAATACATTTACAAGTCGGACATCTGCTGAGCATCTATGTAGTTCCACTAACGTTTGTCATGCTTTTAAAAGAAATCTTTGGTTGAAAAATCCAAAAATGTTTTTCGTCAGCCAATGGAATTCTTGTTTCGAAAATCAGAGCGCAGACATATAAAAAAATCTTTTAAAACAACATTTGATTTTCTATTATGTCATTCGTTTGTTTCGCCGATGCTAAGCGTTATTCCTTCAAATTCGAAAACGGGAGCAGAATCTAGACAATTTTTAGAAATATCGTTACGTTAAACTCCAAGTTCTCGTGCTGTACCGCCGTTATGAAGTCTTCGTATATCGAACGTATATCATACGTGCTCAAGTTTAGCATAAATGACGCTATGCTTCTCAAGCCTCTATAGGGCACATCGAAACGAAATGTCTATAAAAAGACATGGAAACCTAACGCTCAAATGTCGTTCAACTTTGCAGATGGCTTCAAGTTCGGTTGTACACCCACCAGCAAGGCAGTATTACTATTACGACTATTATGACAATGGAAGCGATAACATGAACACTCCTGCACCGACAGAAAGCGCTCTGTGAAATCGCACACTAACTAAGGGCATTGCGACGATGCGTTAAGTTGTACTATAATACAGAGGGGCATAGATATTTGTGAAAATAAAGGATTAGAGGCAAATAACTGAAAACCTAAAGGACGTCGCCGATGTGAGTACGCGCAAAAGTGAAACAATATGTGACTGTATTGGAAACAATTCAATATACACGTTCAAATGAAAAGAAGAAGGAGTAAAAGCTGAGAGGGGCGAGATTAGGTAAGCAGGTAAATCGAAACGTCGCCAATAAATGTAGCGCACTTATTGGCTAATCAGTTCAAAAGCACGGTTCTCCGTAATCTTACGCTCATTACGTATAGCCGTACGTAATAAATTCTAAGAATCTTGATGGAAAAATATGAGAGAGAAAACACTCTGCGGCAGAGCGGATGAATTAGCGATCCGTTGAAATGATTGACTTTATATCAATTGTAGCTATAGACGAAATAAATAGGCCAAAATGGTGTCGAAGAAAAATGCAAAAATTGGACATAACGAGGAAATAGAGCAAAGGACGTAGCAGAAACGTAATTGGAAAATTATCATATAGCCTGATCACTGATGACTAAAACAGGCCAAAACATTCCTCTTTGTACATTTACATATACAACCGTATGCTGTTTCCTGTATTATGAGAACGTTCAGAACGTAATCGAACAAGCAAGCTGAACTTTTGTTATTGTCGAAAAAAAATGATACATAGAGACTTACATACAGTGTGTCTGTTATCAGGCCGCTAAAAGTTTGTTTTTGTGAAAATGACTCTTTCACTCAGTTTGATACTCCCTCCCTTAAAACGTATCGTTATTACTATGACAAATATAGATACATCTGCCACCGTAGTAAAAGTGACTTCGTGTGCACCAAGACACAATAAGATCTCCTCTGCGTTTAGGCGTTTCACGCACTCTGCACGTCTCTAGAAGGGACAGTTTTTTTTTTTTTTCCAAAATATCCCGTATTTACCGTCATATCACAATACTCTTATACAAAAAGTCTTAGTGTTGTACCATTCCAGTACTTGCATCTACTTACTAAGTCACAGAATGTATTCCATTATTGATAAGAGCCTTGCTAATATTCTCATACCCGTGCATCAATGTATAATACATTTTGGTATCGCGTAATATCTACTCGTTTACGTAAGAAAGAATCTCGCCAATTGCAGATTTATGGAAGAGGATGGAAAAAAAATGAATGTTTAATTCACAAAACCTTTTACTAATTGGCCTAATGGCCTTAATATAGGATGCGTATAGCAATTATTAGCAATGACGAAATTCTGTCAAGAACCCTGCTCAAGATTGGCTCAATGGGTATGAAACTGTGACGATCGCAAATTAGCTTTTCTGAGCGACACTCTACCAGATGACAATGTCGGAATATATATATATATATATACCTCGACATTTTCACGTTTTGGTCCAAACAGAGCTTTGATCTGGTGATACTTTTTCTAGGCGCTGCGTAGATGTTACGCTTAATTTTTTCTTGATACTTAAACGAGAATAAATTTAAATTTGAATTTGAATTTGTATAAGTTCATCATCAAGTGCCTGTACCGAGAAAAAGCCCGCACTTTTGTCCCCACTTTGTTTCTCCCTTTTGTACAATTGCTTGAGTTGTATGAACAAAACAGATTATGCTATTGCTATACACACGGCTATAGATTTATGAACTTATGGCGGATTTATAGAATTATTGGTCATTGTCGATCTCTCATACTGTCATTGTATTCAATTTTTGTATTAGCGTAACTTTGTTGCACTAATAAAGAAGTAATTGTGCAACTTTGCGCTAGAAGTTTATTGTGATAAGTTTGCATTGTATATCGAGAACCAAGCTGCTCCATCATCGAACTGTGACGCTTGCATACAAATCACATTGTTCTCAACGCATTTCATTGTCGTACAAATGACTGAAACCCACAGGATACATAGGTCTGTTACAGATTTTGGCTTTACTGTTTTGTGACAGTTTTTGGCACTACGGCGCCGTCGAGACCCATGACAACGGCTGATGTCAGGAAGAAGCTGCTATCACAAGGACACATTTTGCTTCTATAAAACCTTATAAAACAAAAACGGAGACGCATAATGCAAATATTAGTATTCGCCTATTTGCTTCCATCAAACTATTGCCATGTCACGCGATACTCATGCCTCCTAGGATAAATGCCGTTTAAAAGTAGTACGGCGAAAAGCAAAAATTTTCATTTTACTCTTGTCATAGGGGACGCGCTAATTGAAATTAGACGCTAGCAAACGCGTTAACAAAAATAGTTAAAAAAGATAACGGAATCAATATGCCGGGACCATCAAACCATCAAGTTTTGTCGCCGCCATTGTTGACGACGACGACGGCGCCGCCGCCGCCGCTCACATCAACTGTGCACTCTGTATACCTAAGGTTTGCGTTGTGTTTCTTATAGACTACGTGTTAACGTGCGTTGGTAGCTCGGCGACAATGCACTAACATGAAACGTTTATTGAATTACTCAAATAAGAAGTTTTGTAAAAAGACAGACAAGCAGATAGAGAAAGAAATTGTGTGCGTCTTAATCGTCTAGCAACTGCGAAGAGCTATAGAGGACCAGGGGGCGTAGTACACCTGCCCTAGTGCTGTTTCTGTTTTTCTCTTTGATCAGACTCTTGCGAGCTCCTGCTTAAGAGTTTAGGGAACACGGCGCTCAGTTCGTCGTCAAAGACGTATACGTGTACTTGAATGTGAGCGGAATTGTTCTTCCACCCGGACATCAAAAATTATATTGAATTATCTTCATACCGTCCGAGTCGATCAACGTGCAGTCTGTAGCGGCCTTCTGATGGTATACTGTAATAATGATAGGATTCCTGCATTTCGAAGTCTCGGAGCTAATGTTTAGGGTTGGACCGCACAGGAACCGAAAAGTCTGCTATCTTACCCGGTTTGATCCCCCATGAATGGCCACAAATTGACATCACTATCATCCTGTTCAATATGCTAACTAAATATAAATGTAGATAGCAGTATTACAGTAATTACGACAAACTTCTGCTTCTTAACACCGCCCACATAAAGGGTCTGTTCCACTCGATGAGTGAGACAGCAACAAATCCTCTTCAAGGCCGCTTGATAGACGCTTGTTAATTGTCACTGCGTTTCATCAAAGCTGATTCAAATGAACGACGCTATACATGCAGAAACCATATTGTTCGTTGCTATGGGGCACTGCACAAGGGAAGCATCGTTACCAAGATGTCGACTTCCATTAACACTAAGCCTATTCCACTATTAAGACGCTTCAGCATTTAAACACTCGTAATGCACATGCACAGGAGCGGAACGCTCAGAAAATTGTTGCGGCGGACAGTTTGACCGTACCGTCATTTAATATAGATAGATAGATAGATAGATAGATAGATAGATACTACCAATGATGACACACCGCCATGTATCATCACACAGCGGGTTACGACGCGAAGGAGAGAATACAGAGTGAAATATATCCCATTTTTCCACGCTGCTCTATACATCGAGGTCATTTTAGATGATGGAACTAGCGGTAACAAAGATGGTGACTGCAACGCTAAAAGTGGCGATCATCATTAATTGTAACACCTAAATATATAAGAAGTGCTTCTATACTTATGTAGAATAATATTCAGTGGCGCTTTTATGAACGGAGTCTCATTGGCCGACAGCCGAGAGAGACCAAATTGAAACTTGCAAGCAAGTGACGGTTGAGGTTGACTGTCAGCCTTAATCCAATTTATGGTTGTTTTCTACCCGTTCATTACACGGAGCACGATTTGCACGTGCTGCAAATGCCCACATAGGGCAGGACCTTCTCACACATTCGTACCGCTTTAGTCATAGTTGAATAAACTGCTTTTCAGTGCTTTCGAGTAGCTGCTTTGCCAGTCATCATTCATCAAGTGAATATAATGATTCTCCTGTATCCCAACGATTCATTCTGCCCTCGAGTGCTATCATGCAGATACACCATGATATATGGATCAATTTGTGCTGCTATTATTGCGCATATTACTCAGATGGGCGATGGGAAGACCCACACATACGCCAAGGCCATGGTATCCATTTGACGAAGCACAAAAAGGACGAATAGGGGCAACGGAAGACGAGCCCGGCGTCGTGGGGAGAAATGTCGTTTGTTCGCGTCCCATACAAATTAAGGCTAGTTACAAGAACGGTATGGTCATCATTGCCTTCCTAAAGTAAATACCAATAATGATGGGTACAATAAATAAACCAGGATATCTACTCAACAACAAGCATGTAGAACCCAGTGAGGAGGTTCAATCTCATGATAACATTATATGTATAACACAAGGTACATACTATTATGAATGATTTTGTATGGTGTGAGCCTCGTTATCGTTTTAATGTAGGACTACGATATGAACTGATAGCGAAGTCGGTGATTATGATGATGACCGTATTTGAACGGGGCTGATGAGAACGATTAACTTAAAAATAAAGGAAACAGAAAAGGCGTCACACATGTTTGCGTGCCACATACATACTTGTTTAGTAATCGACACTAAGGAAAGACTATTCAATTGTTCATCCTCATGTACACGATATCTGACGACAAACAAATGACATGGACTAAGAGCAGCGACAGCAGCCACGAAAGAGAAAGCAATATCGATGTGACGCGAACAGAGACAGGAGCGCTAACAATAGTAAGAGCAAAAAACACTGAAAAGAACACACATACACGCATAAACAAATACATCGAGAGAAGCCAAGGGTCACAGAAACTACTTGGGCTGATCGTAACGTTTTGAGATGTCAAGCTGCCCGCCTAAGATTCCTGGGGTCTCAGTGCGCTCAGATACAGCTTCTTTTGCCCATCGAACCCCCCGAATTGCAATAGTGGCCCCAACGACGGCGGCGGCGGCAGCAGCACCAGTAGCAAAAAATTGGTTGGAGAAAAGACTTGACCGAACAATCGTCCTTACTCGAATCCTGTTATGTTCTTCCGTACGAACTTCTCTCGTTTTTATTAATACATGCGCTAGCATTTATCCAACTATAACGCAAAATTTCAGACCGCGAATTCGGGCGCCCACTGAACGGACCAGGGCCTGACTACGTTCACACATACACACAAATACATCCAATATAACACCATATAATAAAAACATGCTGGTTTTTGCATTGGAATAATTCCGCGACAGGCACAGAACACACGGGAACCTCCGTAATTGTAACAGTACCAAGACATGTAATTGCTCGTATTTCTCATAACTTCTCCTATATGACATATAGATAATAGCGATGCTGATAACAGAACCGAAATGAATCATTATAAAGAAGGTAATGATGTTGTGCTCCGAGTGATGGTATCTGCTCGTTGTAATGTACTTGTAGAAATAACATGAAGCAAAAAAATGCGGTGACGGTAACGGGGCTTTTTGTATTGCAAGCGTATCTGTATCATGGATAGTTCAGGCAGGCCTATAGAGATTGCGAGGATGTCAAAATTGCCAAGGCGAAAAAAAGCTTCAAATTTGGCTATGTTTTCATTCTCTTATTACGCAAGACAAGGCGAGTAAGGATAAATCATTGAGGTTGCCTTGTCATTTACAATAATGAGAATTTCTTATGCCCCAGCTCGATAAACGAACATATGGTAACAACGTTCTGGTAGATGAACGGAGGCAATAGCTTAAATAACAGAACTAATTTGCTTAGAAAGGGATTAACATGGTCAATGACAATACTAAAAAAAATCTTACTAATAACAGAATCGGGAAAATGAGAAATGCACATTTAATGCAGAATATATGTATGTGTATATATATAAAATGTAGGACAAAATGGGCCAGAAGGCTCCTAGGTCCCGCTTGTCTCGAAGGGAGGAGGAATATGCAAAATTTTTTTGGGCAACAATAACAACAACAACAAAAAAAAGATTCCACAGAAGGTCAAGAGAACCTACATACATTTAATAGATATTCCTATGAATAGAATTGAGGCCGAATGCGGGTAGACGACAAACAGAAGCAGCTATTGCTAGCGACAGCACTAGCAAGATAAAGGACTTCGTGTATACGCATGAAAAAATCTGCTATGTGATGACGAATGAATAGGCCAACGCCAAGTTGAATAGGAGTTGTTCAATAACTGTCAAAAGAGAACAGAAATTTCCGCAATAAAAAATAATGATAAAATAATTAAAAAGCGATAGCTCTTTGCAAAATTTACTTCATCATTATAATAGTGATGTACAACTGTCACAACAACAATGGTGGTACACCAAAAAGATGGTACGAAACTAATAACATTAACAGCCAACAACCAAAGTCAAGAGCATTATGAGGCTAGTAGATAATTAGCCACCATGTTATTATGACCATTCTTTTTGTAAACATAAATACAAATATATATAATTAATTGTCATACAAAATATGGATCTTGGTGTTTTTGGTTGCCACAATATATAATGATCTGTAAGTTTAATTGGCTTCGCCCCCGGCTAACAAACGATATATATATATTGACTTCACTCAACTTGTTCGTGGCCTTCGGTACGGCTCTACAATGTGATTACCTTTAGCGGTTGTTAGGGTTGGCCAAGTGATCTATCGATTCTGGGTTGACGCACCCAATTGTTTAATTTTTTTTAGTGAGAAATAATTGCGCATGTTAAGGTTGGAACGCCAGCGTTATTTTTTCGTTTTTTTCTTAACGAATCATTACAGCTTCCTCTAAGTATATGTGTATATATTATATTGACGATTGATATGTTTGTTGCATTGGCTTCCAGGATATTATCTTTTCCTCTTTTATGCTAGATAGCTGTATATGCTAAATTAAATGAAGCTAAATAGTTCATGATGATTTTTTTGATGATTTTGTCATGTTTTTTTTTGTTAGTAAGAGATTACATAGACTTATTTAAATTTTTTCGCTAAACATAAACTAAGGAAACATTTCACAGAAATCAACTTCGATATTTATTATTACTTTAAAAAAATAGTCGAAACGTATTTTATCCATTGTTATATAGGCAAATTAATATAATCAGCAAGTTACGTAGCTTTCACTCAAAAATATCACCTTAATGAAGATATACGTATTGTGTGAAGCGAAGGTAAATTTATAGATTTGCGTAAAGGAAACTTTTTTACGTAGAACACTAGGTTTATTGTTTTTTTCATTTCAAGTGGCATTAATCAATCCAAAGACTAAGATTTAGTATATGAACATGTGTCGCGTGTCGATTGAGCGCATCGAATAGTACCATCTCTGCATAAACTTTCATGTAAAAAAAAACACTTAAACGAAAAAGCTACCATAGCGCCGAAACATACATTTTATCGTAAGGAAGTCGAATTGTGTCTTTACTGTACCCATCCAGATTAATCAGCTGGCGTAGGGAACTGCTGTCAACGAAATGTTACCCTGCATAGAAGAAATGTTTTTTATATTTTTTCTTGAAGAATCTTTTAGAAAAAATCATTAAACCACATTAAAATGTTTATCATATTAGGCACTTTTCAACTGACATTTAGCAGAAATTTGTTTAGAAAACACTCAAAGGTAGCCTGAAACGCATTTCCACCGCACTCTGAGCGGGACGTGAACGCTGTCATTTTTTGACCACCTTCATGACGAGTTTTCGCCCTTCGGGGAGCTTTTTCAATGTTAGAACTGAGACTCGTGTGTAGAGGCATGCATATTAGCTCGGCGAGAGCTTTCGATGAACGAACTATATTAATATTCAATCCCTATAATACCAGTAGTAGAAAAAAAAACAATTCGACAAGAAGTTGGTGCATTGGTGCATGAAGTACCTCAGGCCCCACAACCATCCCGCAGACATGAATGAGGAATTGCTGTACAGGCATAAAGAAAAAAATTACATATTTGTAAAAATTAAGATTATGCTTCAGATTAATGGAAAACATTTTTTTTTTTTTTGAAAAAAGTACTCATTGAATCGACTTCATTTCGATAGTTCTTTGTAGATCTTCTGTCATGAAACTAATGAGCCAGCCCAATCTGAGTACACTCCGTGATCGATTTGGATCGGCCAAACAAACAAATATAAACAAATAGATTAGTTTAAAAAGACCGATTGCTGATAAGGCCACTAAAAAAAAAAAGTATATTTTTTCACTAAAATGATACAATTTATTGAATGAAATTATTTTAGCTGTCAGGCGCAGCTAGTAGTTACAATCATTTAATTCCAGAACATTTGGTCCCTATAGTATCGATACTTCAACGCAACGCTGACGCGGCTTATTGATTGTCAAAGTTATTTATACTGGATGTTCTAGTTGTGCGAAACAATTTTAAATTTAGCCGAACCCCGTTGGAACTGTGAAAAAAACATCACTTTCGAATCAAAATTGTACTTATTGGTACATTGGTATTACGAAATGGTGAATTTTCACGTAAAAACTTACCTTGATTATGAGCAAAAAACATCAGTCTGTACAAGTATCACTGGGGTTATATAGAGCAACATTCGAAAACAAATAAAATCAATTGTCACTGACTAACAACAATTTATTGTTTAGTCAATCCCAAAGACTCACCTTTACCTCTTCGCTACGTACAACCCGATAATATTTCATAACCTAGGACCTATGGCAAAGCCAGTGATGTCTCTAGTTGGCGTCTAAAACTCCAAATAAAGCTTTTAATTAACATAATCTTACACCGCGTTTGGTAAATTCAATACTTAATTTCCTTTTCCAAGGGTAGTTGATGTCCTTAATTCGCGTTAGAATCTTTCTATCCTGTTCTTCTTTAAGCCTTACGTTAAATGACAGGCATTCCGGAAGCCGTTGATCGCCAATTTTGCCTGTTACAGAAACGTTGCACGGTCAACCGATGCGGCCTTCTGGTGCGGTCGGTTGCATGCCAGCGTGATGTTCTATAGTGAAATAAATTTAGAAAAACACGGGATTTGCACCATCCTCCATTACGGACTCGTCATACAAGCATTCACAGTTTTATCGAGGCCATTATTATATTGTACGAGGGAACAAATATAGCCGATTTAATACGAACGTGAAGATGGTGGCTCTTATACGCATTACAAAGCAAAGGTTGTTGATCAAGATGTAAGCCAGAGCGTACCACTGCCAGCCGAGTGAATTTCAAGCCTTGCGCTTGACTTTCTACGGCAAAATAACATATACGGTGTTCTCAACCTAACCACTGCCAAAATGAAGATACGGCCAATTAACAAACGTAGAACTAACACTTTATTCATTATTGTCATATGGTTGATCAGTTACTCTATTTACAATACTATAAACAAGGGAATCGATCGGGCTGTAAGTCAGATTTTATACAAGCACATGCTCACATGAACGAAACCGCATAGGGTCAGATCGAGAGAGAGCCGCCTGCACTATAATGCGGGCTGGCGGCTTCCAAACCGTTTTGTAGCTCAATCGCAGTTGTGATTGATGGCATCGATACATCCAACGGATCCATCCGGATTGCCAGTTGCATTGCTAGAATAGCCAGACAAAAAGCAAATCTATACTGCAAATGCCTCACTTGAAATAGTCAATCGGTAATTTTACTACCTAAATACAGTACGGGATTTGTATAAAGAACTCAGCACGATCGTTTCGATTCTTCAAATAGATTCCTTACTACTACTACTGCTACATATATCATCAAAAACAGCTCCGTTAACACTCGTGTGCATAATAATATATAGTATCATTCTTAAAATGGCTAGTTTTTTTTTTTGCTAGACACTGTCAAGATTTTAAAATACACCTAATTATATTCGAAATATGTTATACTAATGTATAAATAGAAACGGTTTCTCTTTTATCGCGAGACTGGAGCGCGACGAAACGCCATAAATCTTTGTATTATATTGAAGTAAATCAAAGAATGATCCAGCGTACGTGCGTACCATTGCATCGTAGAAGTAATACTTTATTAATGGAAGGAAAAACTTTTTCGCGTCCGAGCAGCATCGTCTGATGTAAGCATGAGCCCACAGCGGCGAAGGCAATTAAAAATACAGAAATTAATTTTCTAGGCTATGGCGTCTAGGGTTATGGTTAAATAACAACCTAACATCAAACAAAGACCTCTGTTGAACTTTACCACGCCCAAAGTCCAAAGATTACTAATGAATCAGACGCCACCATATCTTATAGTTGTGGCTCGTATTATGAAATCGACAGCCGAACACCGGAATTTATTAATGCTTCCTACCTTTTGAACGGCGCAAAAGAACATCATCACAGAAAGATATATCTAAAGTAGATCTCAGGTATTTATCCACTGTTTGACTTCGCTCTTTAATCAGCGGAGCTAGACGCTGAAATCTTTTTAATATCATTAGGTTTACGAAATGGTTTTGTATATAAAATGAACCTAATACGGTATGATAATTCATATTATGATAGAAATTATAATAAACCATAGAAATTTAACAAATAAGCAATCTAATATATATACATATATATATATATATAAAATCTTTGCTTTGACTTTGTCCAGGATAGAATGCACGTGTTTTTAAATACAAATATAAACATCTACTTGTATAGGAAATAAGTTGTAAGGCAATTTGCATGAGGCAACAAGTGAGAGTTAAATCTATGCAGAAGCTGAGAAAATTATTAAATCCATATTGCCGTCGAGTTTCGGTGCGGATTCATACAGATTACAAATAAGGATCTTTTAAAAACTAAGTTGTTTTCATAGATCGAGCTTTGTATCCGAATAACTTACCCTTAAAGACGACGTATCTTAATCGTACATAATAATTGAATTAGGATAATTTTGATAACTTGAGGGGTCTTTCTCGTTATCAAGAACTGGCAGGACGGTTATTGCAGTGGGCATATGTTCCAAACAGGTTTTTTAAAATTTTCTCAGAGCATAGTATAGATACACCGTAAAACAACGATTCCGACTATGCTTTCACAAATCATTCTCCATTCGAGTATTGAAAATGCTGTTGGCTAACTAATCTCTCTAGGCATTCATAAAGGAAAACGCATTTCACAGTTCAGCCATTAGAAAACGGATAAAAACATTACCTCTCAGCGTAGCGGTGACCATATTGAAATCTCGAGAGTAATAATAGATATCAGTGAGTTATTATGATACTACTTTGTATCAATAATAGGCTGGTTCGGGAAATCGGTCAGATCTCATTCGATATTATAGCTTGTAATGAATCATGAGATCTGTTGTTTCCTTATGTGGAATCGTGCTATCGCTGTGGTCTACAGTTGCGCTAAATCCATGTATCAGTTTCGTGCCTGAAGGCTAAACGATCGAACATGGCCTTGGACTATGCGTAGTCATAACATGAACACTCGATGAACGGATTACCTATCCACTTTTCTACGCTTGCTTTTCCTTCCATATTTTAGAATAGTTTTTAGTTTTTTCACGATAACCCTCTAGTAAATAGTCATTAATGGGTGCTTTGAATGAAACTGGATCATGCTATCGCAAGATAGCTCAAGCCGTATTTCGAAAAAATCAATTTATGCACAATAGATATGCTCGTCTCATTGCGAAATTCTGCCTCGTTATAATCTGACAGCTAAGTTAGGCCAGCCCCGCTATAATCTATGACTCGATCACGGGTAACGAGTGGTCAACGTTGTCCTCTTCTATGAAGTGCACCGAAACCGTAGTAAACCATTGCTCAAATAATGAAAAGACAATACCTACAGTTCTGTGAGATCTGTGCCAGATGCTTTACGCTAAAATTTGTTTGATTTCACTAAGCAGACGACTCCAATACCCGTTAATTGAGAAGAGTAATAGAGAAACGTATTTGTTGTGGGAAATACCTGATCTGTTCAAGCGGCTCCAGGGATGATTGTAATGTTTGGTTTCTGGAAGCAGTCGAGTCTCGCATGCAGAACTTCGTCTATTTCGACCGGTGGCGCTACACCTCCATAGCCCCTCCAATACCACTTGTTTATTTGGCTATATTTATTCTGCTTACGCCTAAGTCGGTACTTCTTTTCCGGTTTTTTTTTGTTTCGCTATGTGTGTTGTGTATCTTTATAAATCAATTACAAATGTTAAACGTAATTAAGGTTAATGACGCTTCACAAAAGGTGTCTAGTAATTATCTAATGAGGCTTCTTGGCGGTTCTCAAAAAGATCGCTGATTTTTGCAGGAATAAGGGTTTTCTTTTCGAACCACACATACACACGTTAAGCTTATATGAACTATCGTCTCCAATAATGTTGAAAAACGCCGATCTGTAATTTAACACATAATCGCACGGCTCCCAATTAGAATGAAGATTTTTTAATTGCTCATCATGATTTATGTGAGGTTCGCTTGTATCTGTTCGCTAAGCCATTCCAGACCTTCACGGACGCCCTCGCCTGTAAGCGCATTGGACGAACAGATATGCCAGCTTTTTGTGCATAAAGTGTCGAGACCAAGTGCGTGCGATACCTTGACGCTGGACAGCGCGTCTTTGAGATCCATTTTATTAGCAAAAAAAAGAACAGGCACCTGACGACCCTTAATATCTTTGTGTTGAAGAAGAAGTTCAAGTTCATCTTTGACAACTACCATCCTCAGTGCATCGGTAGAGTCGATAACAAACACTACTCCCTGCGCATCGTGGTAATAATGTTCCCATAGGTTACGGTATCGACCCTGGCCGGACATGTCAAATGCCGTCAAGCTAAGATTTTTAACCTTGAACGTCTCTACACTGAAGCCGATTGTAGGGACAATTTCAATCGATTTCTGCTCTTCCGGTTTAAAATGATTTAAAATAGTGGACTTTCCGCTATTATCGAGACCAACTACGAGCACCGACGCTTGACGCTTCCTAATTTTCAAGAACACAACTAAACGGTCAAATAAACCCATTGTGAGGACGAAAGCAGGCAAGTACTTGGTGACTGGCGTATTTCCTTGTCCAGTTATCACAGCTGGGTCACAGATCGAATTCGAGGTTTATAGCTGGTCTTGCTTTTCGAAAAAGGTCAATCGAAAAAAATACTTTGTACTTTACAACCTCGACAACGATAGCAGTTCACATGATCATGAAGGACACAAATGCTCCGCAAATGCAGATAACCTCTTGAGCAGTATCTTTCGCAGACGGCTTGTTCGATTTAGACGTTAGTTCCAAGGACAGCAAAGTAGGCCCACATCACAAAAACTCGGCTGATGAATCTGAGTCAGGAGTCGGGACGTCGGGCTTATGCCAGACGCTTCGATGGCTGAACCTCAGTGTGAGCAAATTATATTCGACATTGACCTGATAGCAGTAAGAACCATCTCAGTTCGAGTTGTGATGTTACCATAGTTACGTCCAATTCAAAATCTCAAAGAGAGAAAGAGCAACATGGGCCTATGTTAGTATGAAGCGTAGAGGCGACCACTTAATTGGGGGCTTGGTTTAAACCGGCAGAAAGCGCTGCCTCGACGACGCAACATCCAGCTAATCTAACGTGAAAGTTAATTAGTCTATATCAGGAAATTGAACGCTAGCTTCGTGTAGTACGCCGCGGTTATGGAGATGTAGCCCATCTGGAACTAGATTTGGCGGTTCTGTTACGTATCTTATGGCGTAGTGTCTGTTATCCGCATGGTGTTTCGAAATGATCACGATACTTTCATCAACGGAATTGATCTGATCAACGTATCTAGTGAACGAAAAAGGAGTGTTTCTATTTTAATACTATTTAGAATAGAACTTTATAACTCCTCGCTGTTTCCCAATAACATTTTGTATTCATTTCGAAGCTCTCAGACGATTGCTGGTTTGTTCTAGTGATAATCGAAGTGAGTATTACGACCATATAACTTAGACGCAGAAGTATGAACGTAAGAATTTTGAGTGGCTTTGAGTAACAGTCGCCTTAAAGAACTTAACATCTGATATTTCTCGTGCTTAGAATAATTATGAACAGTTAGCTGTGGGTAATGTATTGGATACTTTATAAAATACACATATTTTGAGGGGTGTCTCCCGTCGTTTTTTTTAATATTGTTCACAACGCTACATTATGTTCACATATATATATATATATATATATATATATACACATTTTTCGAAAAACTATAGTATTATTTAGTAGTGTGTTAACTTTGTGTGGTCCGATGACATCGAGCCGGTGCTTCGTATCGTCATGTTTTGAAATCTACTGATTTCCCATTTTCATTAATGCCAGATTATTTTATGCCAAAAGGATAACAAACAAAGAATAAACAAGGCGTTAAAAAGTCAATAGGCTACACGTTTGAAGAACAAATAGGACTTTGCAGTTGTTCTAACACGATGACTACGGTTTTGTCAACTTTAAGAGATATTTGCGAACGGCAACTGGTGGCTTACTAGTCTATCAGAATTTCTGTATCCTCCGCGTAAAAATAAACGTTCTTTTATGAACTTTCAAAACGTAGTTGATGCAATCCAGTAGAAAGAAGGTGGATAATTATTTCATTAGTCCACCAGATATATACGTAGATACAGTCGATATTCAATGATCGATTAACAATAAAAGTATGTGTGCGCTACAATAGATTCACGTAATTTACGTCAACTTATAAATAAAGCAAGCTTATAATAAAGAGTACACAACATTAACTCAGCTTATTATTCATACGTTTGGCTGTTTCCAAACCGCGGTGCAGTTCCCGCATAAACTAATAGGCTGCGTTACGTTAATTGTGAGAGGAGAAAAAGCCTTTAAATGAGAGCAGTTTCCGTTGCCTGTTGTTACGTTGTTTTGGCAGTGGAAGGCCTTTTTGAGCCGAAGGTTCAGCTTCGTTAGTTTTTAAAGGCCACCAGCTTCATTCGATTAATTTCAGATATCCATTCAAGAAACCAAAGAAGTCCTAGATCCTTACAAATAAGTGTGATTGCAGTCACACACCACCGTCAGCTAAATTGATATCCCGCGCCTGTCAGTAACAATTGAGCATCGTGACGAAAACCGCTATCATGTGTCTAGCAAGGTATCTGTCTAGACAAACAACATAATCCTGAACACTTCGAACGGCGTTTATCGGGTGACGACCGCAGAGGCAAATAAGGCCTAGTAGAATGTCGCATCTGTTATGTCCTGATCATCACCAGCCTCCATGCCAGCCATAATCCCAGCCTCCGTGCCATCCATGTTCTTTCACAACCCACGCTCTAAAAAGAATTGAAAGAACAACAGCTTAGATCGGAGAACAGACGCAATGTAAGCTATAGCAACGCAAACGTGAATCTTAGTTCTGTTCTCACGCGTACCTCACTAGCAGTAACACTATTATGTGCAAATTAGCGAATTACAAACAAATTAGATAAGCAATCACAATTGCCGAACTAATGGCCTTCGCTATTTTGAATTGCAAAAAACCTAGCACCTGAGAATATGGTATAAACTTACGGTTCGTGAAACTTCTCTACCCAAACCGTGTGATGGGGTTTGTGATGTTTCGCAATAGCGTAACCTGCTACTCCGCCAACGGCTCCACCTATGAGAGCTCCATGGAAGAGGAGTCTCAGCTTCTTTTTAATTAGCTGCTCAGATGGTGTCACCAAGCAGGCGACTAGAATAAGAATGGATAGAGTTACGCCGACTACTCTGGAACCTCTGGCTGTCCACATATTCTGAAATCGGAAATTTAACACAGATACATATGTTTGAAAATCATGCCAAAAATCGCGCTGCTTATCTTAGGATTGGGTCTGTTGACAAATCGGGGAAGTTAAATTATCACAGAGCTCGACGCATTTCAGACCCAATCTCTGTTTTTAATAGACGTTGAGCCGCTGATAAACTTATTGTTGCAAAAGATCTGTCAAGATCTCATATCTAAAAGTAAGCAATTGACCTAATGCATGAGAAGCGACTGATATTGTAACCGAGAGAAAATCGGTTACAATACCAGTCGGTTTTAGGGTTCCGAGTAGTAATGGATCTTTTTTTCGTTACGATAAAAAACACAGATATAAGAATATTCTACAGTGGCCAAAATTAGTTGTGTTTTTAGGAAAAAAAAAAACTTTTCCCTTTATGCTTAAAAATGGACCATAACTACGATAAATATTTAAATGCGAACGCTATCGAACACGTAATTTGTAAGGCACAAAACCGACTTACTAATGTCGCCTCTTTGGAACAGATCGTTGTAACGCGGATCGTTTGCGCAAAACGTTTAGCATATCACTGTTCACGTTTCGTTGGGGATCATGAACCATCGGTCGCCCTTTATATGAACTGTAGCTTCATCAAATGCCCTCTTACTGTTTGCCCACTCGCCTGCGTATTGTGTATTCTTCTTCTGATCTTCTGTGGCATCTTCGGAAGGTTTGCGCCTTCTGTTAAATAGTTGTCGGCCCCGTACTTTTGGTGAAAATATTTCTAACAGCTTTCACATCTTTCTGCCGCTGTATTCCTTCAATGATACTATAGTATTTATGCAACCATATAGTTCCTAACGGATTTGTCCCGATATTACAATGCATATATATTAAGAATTACATATTGGATGACATGTTGAATGGAAATGATTCTACCGTGAAACAATCTGCCAGTGCCTGGTTACTGCTTTTTAAATTTTTTTCTATTCAGCTTCATGTCTGCATAGTAAAAAGCTTATTTCAACACAATGTAATCTCCAGAGGATTCAGCATTACTTTCGCAATAACAGTCAATAGACGGCATGAGCAAAACATATGCATATAAAATGACGTAATTCGACAATTTATGTTTAAAAAAAAGTAACTATTATAACTTAATAATTTAGTTCAATAGTTGTCATAGTGCTAATGATTGATGCCGCAATCTTTCTAGCGCATTATTGATCGAGGTCCGGTGTACTTCTATCTTCGAGATAAGCTTGAAAACGTCTCTTACCCATGGTGTAGTAACTACTTCGTTTGCAACGCCCCATTTCTTGTTGAGGTTCCCATTGATTGCTTTTTTTTTTTTTTTTTTTTTTTTTTAATGAAATAGACTGTCTGTAAATGACTCATAGCACAACACGAATCCCTAACAGGTTATTTGTTCTTGTAAGCAAAGGTCCTCAGCTCGTAACTAAGAATTGGGCTAAATCTGCTCTGGGGCAATTAGATTTCTTTTGTTAGTACGCGTATATATAGTGATAGAATAAAGAAAAAGCTACACCAAAATACTTTGTAAACCCGATTTTGACAAACCTGATATTTTTACCCTCAGTCACAATCAGATACATGATTTTTAAGACTAGTAATTAAATGGAGTTTAAAACAAACACAGCAAAATGTCACTAGTTTAAGTAAAAATCACAAAAACCGCTATCAGAACTCGTTGGACAGCACCATGTTTCAACCTTCCCAAACGCTAGTCTTGCTAGAAATGTATCCTAGTCTAAATCACACCTACTTACAGATTTTGATGGTTTACGTTTTTTGAAATACTTCACTGAAGCTGGTCCGCGTCGAAACCCCTCGATATCAATTGAACACAACTCAACGGCAGCTACAAATGTTACTCCCTACAACTGGTAATCGGCCCATTAATAGTTCGTATCCATTAATGATCACTGCTTTCTCACCCATGACCATATTAGTTTCTCCATTCATCCGTAGGTTCTCGAAGTAAATAGATAGCGGTCAGTTTTTGTGCATACAAAGCCTCGTAATCACGAGAACTTAGATTAAGGGTATAAGCGGGTTAAAGCCAGCATTGGATACTCCTTTGCTCAATCCGTGAAGTAGCCGAGGTATGGCAATGACGTCTGGCATCGTCTCTAAGTAACAAGACTGCGTGCTTTCGATCAGCACGCAAACGGCCCATGAGTCTGTTGGAGAACTCGATATAGCGGGTGGCTTTCATGTTCGGCTAATATCTCATACCAGCAGAAGCTCCCTATCTACATTAAAGGTGCCATCATCGTCTTACGTTTGAAAAAACACCGACACCGAACTCGATTTGTCGGCTGGTTTCTCTCTGGTTGGCGCTAAAGATTGGCATGTGCGAGATCAAGACTAAAAAAGGCTTCTTCTACAACACTTATTGCTTCTAGAATAAACAGATCGGTTTGCGCTTAGAACTTTCTAGGAGGCTGGAGTATGTATCAGGCAATTTCGTCTGCTAGTCACGTGAATTCAAAAGTTATTAAATTTCAAAATCCGCCGGACTCGCTTTCATAACTACGCTTCGTAACAACTAAATAACAGAAACGAACTAACACATTGTGCTTTATGAAGGCACATTAACAGATTGGCTCGTAAAGATTCAAGGAAAAGAGACTACTCACAATCAAAAATTAGTGAACATTTCCTGCTTTTAATGTCGACAGATTATTCTATGCACATGGTTCATTGAAATCGATGAAAATGATCTTCAGGAGTGGATATCTTAGTCACTGACACAAAATGTGCGCATGTACATGGCCAGCTCCATCCAGCGGTTTCCTAATCCATATAACTACACGGCGTTTTTTTTATTCCCACGCTAGGATGGAGAGAGGTTAGTATATTGAGAATAGGATGACCCGACCACTGCCGTCCGGAAAGTAAGTGTCCATACACAGCACGAAGTCGCCAAATTTGGGCCCTAAGTCCCATGGAAGCAGGGTTCCAGGACTTCTTGGAGAATCTCCATGGAGGCGCACAGGCTTTGGAACGGTAGCTGGCCGGGAGGACGCGAGGCTATTTACTAACAACAAGTTCCGAAATGCGGAGCTGCTCAGGGGCACATGAATGAGTCGAGTGGCTAGAGCAAATAAATAGCTACTGTTTAGGACGCGGTTAGGGAACAAAAGTCTTAGCCGATAGCCGATAGATTATCAGTTTCCAATCAACGGTTTAGTCCTACATAAAGCATACACTCTTTGGCTATGCGCAGCCTATTTTAAAATGTTTAAAAGATCTGCAGTGACGTTTGATAATACCAGGACGATTATTTCGTGCTGTATTGGCTAGAATGTTGTGGGTTTAGCGAAGACGTTTTCATGCTTGTACTGCGCAATACCGAAACCGGGGGTTTCACGACAGCTTTTAAGCTTGTTCTATTCCTGATTACTTATAACCGCTAGCACTCAATACGTGTTTCAAGCTTTACTCCTGCTATTCCTGTTAAGCAGTAATTCAGACGGCTGACTCCGGCATAAAAAAAAAGGGTATTTCTATATTCGATTTCGAACTTTCTTTCGAAAAAAACGGATTTTTTCACCGTTTTCCTGATTGTCACTTGCCGGATCCAAGTGTGAGATTTCCATTAAGCACGAAAGACAGCTCTTTGTTGAGGGTATCGCAGAGGCAGAGGACGACTACCCATTAGCCGCAGTCTCGCGGAACGGCCTCTACGAGACGTGCAACAAATCAACTCATACGATGAGCAACACCTATACTGTTACTTGAAAACTTGGAGCGGGGAAGTTCACTTGGCTCCTTGGATCCTGTTTTGACAAACTGTGCCAATAACTTTTCTAATATCATCATGCCTTCAAAATTTTTTTGGTTACCCACTACCTAAGGAACACGTAGTGCACTCTGTAATCACGTGTGCTTTACCGATATATAATAGCTGAAACTGGAAGGAGCGGTGAAGGCCTAGGGCATATGATCCGTTATAAAGCTCGTCATACCATACAATGTTAACAATCAGAGTGCGTGTTCATGTCCTGTGTCTATCATGGAGTTCGTTCCGAGCCCATTGCTCGCTGTATTTTCGGCGTGCAGTTTCGATCTAATTCCTTCTTAAAATCCACACTTAGTCCACTTGAGGTGTCCCTATGCTCAGTAAGCGAAAGCATTTCTATATTCTTACAGGAGCTAACCGCTCGAGTATCTCTCCCGCTGCGGATGTTAATAAATTAATTAAACCTCTATTCGCGTATCAAATCGGCTGAGCAGGAACTTATGACTTCGTTTACGTAATGTATTGACAATGACGCAACAGACACATGTTTAACTGACGACAATTACTAACTTCTACCGTAGACTAGTAGTAGTTCGTAGTACAAACAGTTCTCATTATATATTTCCTTTATTAGTACAATGTTTTATAGCTGCAAAGGATTCATTGATGATAACTATCATTTGAACCTGTAAAGCTGCACCACAGTATGCCTTTGATCATTGTTTGCGCCCCTCTGATAGTTCCTCGAAGTTCTATATTACAGTATTTTATCTTTTTCTATTTTCAAAGGAATCAGTCTGAAGATATCTATCCGAGGAATTTCCTTCTGTTTGAACTAATATTTTGAGCTTTCTCTATGATACCGCCGAGCGGATTTCCCCTATCTAAATAATCGTTAATTTTCTACGATCTGAAAACTACTACTTTCTACATATTCGAAGATGTTAGAGCTATACCTGCTCTAACCCTCCAAATTCCTGTTTTACGACAACTGAATTTTCACGGTGATAGCACAGTCGGTATTTTACAAACATAATATACTAAAAATAGAGTTATTTTCACTCAATGATTTAGTACAAACAAATAACTTTTTTTTTTTTTTTTTTATATTGTGTGCACAGTGCTCTAATTCGTAAATGAATATGTTATCATTCCGAATGATGTTAGATAACGAAGCTTGAATCGCATGCCCTGAGTAAATGTACTTCGTTTTGTTAACGACGATCAGCTGTGACAGTCAGCGGCTTGTAGATGAAAAAAAAAACGTGTGAATTGGGCCTTTTATGACTGTACTCAATTCTAAGATGTTTCAAGCTAACCCCGTAAATCGCCGGCAGAAATTAGCGGAAAGTCAAAATGGCATGTTTCTAGCTATAGCCGTGAAGAAACACAATGAGCGTCATAAAAGGTTATCGAGCGCGTCCAGTCCGCTGGTAGACAGAATCGCTTTTATATATCAACGTGGTCAGATCTCCGGAGTGCCTACTGCTAGCTAATAGAATGACTATAAAGCTCCGACTAGCAGAAGGCGACAAACCGTTAGTTGTCATAGCGGCATTATGATCGAGATAAGACTGTATCATAAAAAGTATGCACTAGAGCCTTTCTGAAAAAACGTCTGTGTTCGCAGTTATCTCGGCGACTATTACGTTCACGGTAAGAACTAAGCAACAATGCGTTTCAAAGGGTTTCCTATACATTCCGACCCCAGTCCTGTTGAAGTTGGACCAAGTGACACCAGTCTCCTAAGAACGGGTCAAGGCAGTAACCATACAGCCTTAACGTACTTGGCATGTTCTACACTCCAACAAGCGGTACGCAACTTTTACGCTCTGAAGGGAAAAAACGT